ATTTAAACATCTCCCCTGTTTGTCTTGTACTCGCACATAGTCTGAGAATTCTGTGGGGAGGGGATGTTGTGTTGAACTTGATTCTCACTGCTGTGCATGGCCTTTTGGGGTCGGCAATATCATTCCGTCGGCCTGCCCCGAAGAGTTCCAAAATAAGATGCTTCCATAACAAATATCGTTAAAACAATGAACATTCTTGGTATTTGGCTGTACATCAAAAGCTGGCCGCTGTGTCTTGCATGTTTCAAAACTGAGAATAAACAGCCAAAATAAGTATATCCGTAAACGGTTACTATTGAAATTGTGTGCTAGAAGGCACCACCAGAGGGGGGAATAGTTTTTGCTCTGCTGGAATTGATCAGAAATAGTGACGCTGCGGCAGGAAATTTTTTTGGAAAACAGGTTAACCTGTTGTATTTTTTGGGGCTGCATTTCAAAGAAAATAAAAAGGCATCTTTTTAAGCCCACTGTGATTGTGTTTCTCCAATTTTTATGCCCCACCGACGAAGTCGAAGGGACATATTGTTTTCACTTTGTCCTTCCCTGGGTGTGTGTGGGTGGGAGTGCAGGCGTGGCATACATAGTCTGGACCTCTGCACAAAAGAAGTCCACATAATGTAGGGTATGATGGCATTGTGTGGACTCGCACATGTCCACACAATGTTTTCCCCTCTCTGAAAAAGTTTCAGAGGCATTTTGGGGTCAAGGGTATCTGTAGCAAAATGAAGAACAGTGCAGGAAATCATCAAAAATCCAGCTTGAAGGAGTTATCCTTGTAGGAGAAAAAGGAGCATTTTCGTCAAGTTTCCATAACCGCAGGAGAACAAAGGAATATCCTCACTTCGCGTGTAAAACAGGTGTCTAGGGGTTGGTGTGTCCAGCACAATATCTTGAGAATAATAACATGACTTATGGACTTCAAATTTGGTATGGAGGTTGTAATCAGTGGGCCTAAGCAACCTTTTAAATTTGGGTGCAGTTTGTGCAACAATACAAATCTTGTCATTGTGATAACTTGGGAATTACATGTCCGGTGGACTTTCAATTCGGTATGTAGGTTGTAATCAGTGCTTCCAAGAAGCCTATTGAATTCGGGTGCAAACTATTGAGGTTCAAGGTCAACTCGGCTAGATAGTTTGTTGAACAATACTTTAACAGTTGCAATTGATGAATTTCACATTAATTGCAAATACAGATGAAACATTTAATAATGTAATGTCGCCACTTTCGCACACGTCTGAAAAGGGAAACAAACACTTGTCCTCTGATCCAGTGGCTTTTGGCCTTTATAATACACCCCCAACACCGGTGAAACACAGTCGAAGTTTCATATAAACGTACAACCAAATCTGGATCTCTTCTCACATTCGCACTGGATCGAATCACGCCAAAACATGTCTGCCAGAACTGGTGGGAAAATTCCCCAAATGCTACTGCACCGGCGCCGCAGGGGCAGGCCTACAAGCCAACTGGTAGGGCCCGGCACGGCCCCATGAGTCGAGCCACACCAGCGCCCCCACTGGCCTGTCGGAGCCGCCCCCTCCCGCCCCAGACTCTTGGTTTTTCTCCGAACAAGGCGGAAAGTGACATCCACCAGACACCTACCTTGCCTCGCCCCAGCGACCCGGTGCCTCCCAAACTAAGAGGGGGATGAACAAAAACAATGTTGAAAAGCCAGAATAACCAAAAAAAAAAAAAAGAAACGTTAAGGCTGCAGAAAAACAAGAATTGAGTGAAGGCTAACTAAATAGGGGTGGCCTTCGCTGGAACTATGTCATCCAGAAATGCTGAAGTGTGGGGATATGAGGGACATTTTCCGGGTAGCGGGGCGGTGGAGGCGCGCTGGGCAGCAGCAGCCCCCCTCCCAAGTGGTGGCCGGCAACTGGCGAGCCACCAGGGGGTCCACAAAGTACCGGGCATACTACTGGCCGTCATAAGTGTGGACCACTCTAGTCCTGAACAGCCAGCGGCCCCCCGCTTCCAGACCGGCATGCGTGGTCTGCAGAGACCACTCGTCCTGGATGTGTTCGCACAACGGGACCTCCCTACTGGTCCCCGCCTTCCGCAGAATGGCCTCAACACGCAAGCATACCGGGTCGCCACCGGCCCGAACGATGAGGTCCCCTGGCCACAGCAGCAACTGCCCTGCCCCGTGCCACCCGGTGATGACGTTTGCGTTGCTGCCTCCATGGTTATTGGTACCGTCCTGGCAACGGAATTGGACTCTGTACCCGCTGGGCGGCGCCTCTGGCCGAGGCTCCTGTTTCATGGCCTGCGGGGCATCTGCAGCTGCTCTGGTTGTTCTGTTTGGATGGCTCCCTTTGGTTGGTCCCCAGGAGAGGACAGAGTGGCGGACCGTTCCGTACGGTAGCTAGCCGGCCGGTCTCTGTCGTCATGTCTGGCTGGCCCTGCCCCCGGCGACACGGTTTCGGGGTCATCACTCTCAAACTCCTGATCGCTGGCATGGACTTCCAGCATCATGTCCTGTGAGATTGCCCCAACCAGATAGGCCCCATACAGCATTTTCGTGTTTCCTTAGGGTGTCTACCCGGCAAAACAACCGCCCACGGCCCTGGTTGCATTGGTGGGGGGAGCTCTGGGTGGAGGGCGGTGCATGCCCCTCTGCTTCAGCCGCTTGCTGCACTCAGGGCAGTCCACTTTATCAGACATCCTGCAGGGGGAAGAAAGAGAATTTGTTAGAGAGAAGCAATAACGGCTAGGTCGCATTACCTTCCGCCCCGCTTGGGTGACCTGGGGTGGTGGTCCTTTTACTTTCTCCAGTTTTGTGGCCTGGCCCGGGGTCAGAATTGGATCGGGCTCTTCCTAGTTAGGTCCCTCGCTGGTTCCTCCATTGTTGGTGCTTCTAGTTTCGTCGACTTGGCTCCAGTCTCGTTCCCATGGTCCTTGCCTCCGGTTCCCTGGTCCTCCCTCTTCGTGGGTCATCCCTTGTCCAAGGTCTGCCACCGGATCCTCCTCTGGGGCTTCAGTCCGTCTAGAAATCCTGGCTTATGGCGGGGGGGGTGAGTTTGATCCGTCTCCGCCGAGGGTGCCTGAGTGGTGGCTTCAGGCTCAGCGGGGGGCACCGGTCGGTCCATCACTGCCACCGGCTCCTGGGCTGCCTTCTGCCACCAACACGCATCCACGTCTCCCAGTTAGGGCTTCCGACGGTTGAAATGGACAACCTTCGCCTTGGCCCAGGGTGACTTCTGTATGGTATAGACTACATCATTGATTCTCTTTACCACAATGAAGGGGCTATTCCACCAGCACTGTAACTTGGGGGTGTCCCACTTTTTTGGAAGGCGTATACAACCATACTGCACAGCCTGGCTCGTACCCAGCTCTCTCTGCCCGGCAGTGGTATTGTCATTTCCGTAGACCTTGTCTTTCCAGAGGTAACAGAGGGTGAAATCATGGGCACGCTTGTTCGTCAAGCATGGAGGGGCGAGCAATCTCAGCAAAATTGGCGATAAACTGCCTGTAATATGAGGCGAGTCCCAAGAAGGTGCGGACCTGGGTGAGGTTTGCTGGAGAGGGCAAATCCCGAATAGCCGCAATC